GCTTTTATGAAAGCTTTACCAATTTATGGACTGGTTCTAGCATTAACACTTTTATTTGCAAAACCTTTTGTTTAATCTTAGCTTAGAAATAAGAAAAATATTTTTTTTCATATTTTATTTCCTTCGACTTGTCGTTTGCTTTTTCAAATTATATCAAGATTTCTCTCCTCCCATTCTTTTTTCTAAAGTATTCTCACTTCTCCACCCCAAATTGTCTTCTCCATTATCCTACCCACACCTCAAACCCCAACCCCTCTCTCTCACCAAGATTGTCTTCTCCACCCACCACCATTTCCGACCCTCCCCCACCCACATGAGTCAAAACAAGAAGTTTTTTTTGTTTGTCTTTGTCACTTTGTGAATGTCGTGAGATAAGAATGTTTTCTCGTGGTAGATTGATATTTGAATGTTTGATTTGGTGAATGTGGTAATGCATTTGTTTGACCTTTTTCGGAATTTTTTCTGGCTGAATTTCTTAATCAATGCAAATAAAAAATTGCTACTTTAGTATATAAATATGAAGTTTCAATACTTTTTTCGTGATTATGATATGAGAACGTATGCAAATAGATTAGAGAGCTAAAATTATTTATTGTGAACGTAGAATTCGATAATTGAAAATATAATTTCTTGTCATTAGTGAGTTTTTTTCTTCTTAAAATTTATCTTGATTTTTTTCAAATTATTTTGAGGAAGAAGAAGAAGAACAAAATAAGTGAGTATTAAAACTTAAAATTTCTGGACGCAAGAATTTACTTTTTGTTTGTGGCATCGTCAAATTTATTTCAGTATGGAAAAAGTTTAAGCTTGAAAAATGGTAGCCAAAAATTGGGGAAGAAGAAGAAGAAAAAAAAATTGATCTCTCACGCGTATTTGATATGTCATCTCAGCAAAAAGTGTAAAATTGACATAGCGAGACATGACATGAGGTTTCTAAAATGAACAAAACTCAGTTAAGGTGTCTAACTGAAAATTAGTGCCAACTTTAGGTGATCACGAATGGATTTGACCTTTATTTTTCAAGGCAAACAATGTAACTTCTCTCAGAATCATAGGCATATAAAGATACCTGAGATGCAACAATCTATTAACATTAAAAAAAATAGTGATACATTCTATAAGACATCATTTGTATGTCTCAATCACAAACAAATAATCAGACAGCTAACTTTTACTTAATATCAGATATAAAATATAAATATTATTTTTATTTTTATTATCCAAGTTAAGGACCACCAAGGGTAAATTTGTCAATTCATAAAGATTCTAGAGTATTTTTTTCTATGTTATGATATCAAGAAAGTTGTAATAGATTTGTAATGACAAAACAACCAAATATATTTTTCTAAATGTCATGTGTATCCTAATGATGTGTCATTCAATATGAACCCACATTATCCACATTTTCAATCATACTTTTTTCATAATATAGACTAATTTTAATAAGATAGTGCACTTCATATATATTTATTTTTTATACAGTGTGTACAATTTTCATCAAATCAAAGTATCTATTAAATAAATGTAGGATAAATTTTTATTTTACAACATACTAATGATTTTTATAGGTCTAAAGGTAATTCTAAATTAGTGATTTGTTAAGACCGAAAAAATTAATTTATGTGATGTTTATCTTAAAAAATCATATGATATATTTTTCTATTCTATTATACAGAAGAGTCAAGTTAAGGACGACCAAGGGAAAATTTGTCAATTCATAAAGATTATAGAATGTTTCTTTCTATGTTACGATTTCAAGAAAGTTGTAATAGATTTTTAATGACAAAACAACCAAATATATTTTCCTAAATGTCATGTGTATCCTAATGATGTGACATTTAATATGAATCCACATTTTCGATATACTTTTTTTCATAATATAGACTAATTTTAATTAGTATATTTAATGAGATAGTAAAAATACATATGTATTCATTTTTTGTACAGTGTAAAATTTTCATCGAATCAAAAATATCTATTGAATAAATGTACGATAAATTTTTATTTTTACAACGTACTAATGCATTTTATAGGTCTAAAGGTAAATTCTATATTAATGATTTGTTAAGACCTAAAAAATTAATTTACGTGATGTTTGTCTAAATAAATCATATTATTATATTTTTTTATTCTATATTTATATTTCTATTATATTTGGAAGAGTGAAGTGGGAGGACGACCAAGGGCAAAAATGTACTTTCACGCTAACAAAAATTTATGAATAAAGATAATAAATAATTCTAGAATTATCTTTGTGAATAATGAATAAGGGCAAAAATATAATTTCACGCTAACAAAAATCTACCAAGAATGATAAAAAAAATTAAATAGTTCTAAAAACATCTTAAGTTATTGTTATTACCATTAACTTATTTTGTTATTACTTCACTTTTTTTTTTTTCCTTTTGTGAGTTATTGTGATATCTATTTTATTACTCTATTTGTAGCTTCATGCAAGCAAAAATCTACAAAGAATAATAACAAGAAAAATAAATAGTTCTAGAAACCATCTTTAATTATTGTTATTAATATTTCTATTATATAGAAGAGTGAAGTGGGAGGACGACCAAGGGCAAAAATGTACTTTCACGCTAACAAAAATTTATGAATAAAGATAATAAATAATTCTAGAATTATCTTTGTGAATAATGAATAATGGCAAAAATATAATTTCACGGTAACAAAAATCTACCAAAAATGATAAAAAAATTAAATAGTTCTAAAAACATCTTAAATTATTGTTATTACCATTAACTTATTTTGTTATTATTTCACTTTTTTTTTTCCTTTTGTGAGTTATTGTGATATCTATTTTATTACTCTATTTGTAGCTTCATGCAAGCAAAAATCTACAAAGAATAATAACAAGAAAAATAAATAGTTCTAGAAACCATCTTTAATTATTGTTATTAATATTACCTCATATTTGTTATTTCTTCATTTTTTTATGAGTTATTGTGATATCTATTTATTATGTGAAAGTAAATAAGTAATGATTACGCTTAGCTCTTAATAATTATATATCAAGAATAATATTAGGTGGAACCAATCAAAATTAAAATTAAAATTTATATGTATATTAAATTTTGTGTATTGAAATATTTTTTAATTTTGTGATCTTAAATATGCTATATAAAAAAATTAAAATTCAGATTTTTTTTTGAAATGAAATAAAAAAAATTCATATAAATCAAAAAGGAGGGAGTCATATAATAAAAACGAAATATATATATGTTATTATTGAAATGAGCTTTCATATATTATTATTTTTTTAGAAATTGTTTGGCTTCCTTCTATTAATTTGTGCATATATGTGGAGTTTAAAGATTTGAACATTTTAATATAGAAATATAATGATTTGAAAACTTTAATCTTTCGTTTTAATTTCTAATTTCTTACATATTTGAAAATTACATACAAAAAAGAAGCTTAAAACGCAATGTAACAATTTAAGATATTTTTAGAAAAACATAGTTAAAAAACATAATGAAATTTGGTTTACTCCCTTATTTTTATTGAAACAAAAAAAAGTTGCATATATTGTTTGAAAATAACGTAAGAACTAAAAAGTACTGTGAATCACAATAAAATGACAATTAAAAATATGTGAGAATCATATAAGAAATTTCGTTTACATTTCTAAGATCACTTGTATCACATAAAATAAAACAGATGGAGTAATATATATTATTCGAAAATAACATAAAAGGTACATAAATTAACAATTTTAATTTTTTTTTTTGGAGAACACATCAAAATTTAAGTTCACTTTTCAAATTTCATTTGTGTCACATAAATTAAAAGAAAAAAAATTTAACATACTTTGGATCTGCGCTGGAACATGAACATAATACTACTAATCTAATACATACATCACCTTTGAACATTTCAATGCTCATACTACAAATTGAATGTATAATGTATCATTTATAAAATATAGTATTTAATGTATCATGCTAGACAATTGGTGATGATACGATAGTTTAAAAAATCGTTGATCCTGTAAAAACAAATGTGTTATCATTTCATCAATAATTTTTTATTAGGAACTTTAAATTTGAATTAACATTATAAAAAACATAATATTACATTTATTAAAAAGTATTTTATTTTAATTAAATGTGTTTCAATCAGATTAATGATCTAAAATCAAATATTATTTTCTAAAACTTGAAGTATATATGCCTAAAAAAGAATAGTATTGTTTCTTTTTTCTTTTTCATAACCGTGACTTTTAGTTTAGTTTTAATATTTCGAATAATATTCTTATTTATAACAGTGAAGAGTTATTTAGACTAATAACATGTTTACTATGTATTTTCAATGTAGTATCTTAGATATTATTGTAAAAACATTATTGTCATTGTAGAATATTTGAATTGTTTAGTTAAAAATTTTAAAACATTTTTATTAAAAAGTAAATAATTTTTTTCTAAAATATAGATCTTTTATTCTTTTTAGGGTAAATACATAAGTATTCCCAACATATGTCCGTAATCTCAAAGATACTTATACTATATTAAGGTTTTATTACTCTCCCGAACTTATTTTATAAATAATTTTCTATTTCCTTTTGATCTACGTGACACTATTTTTTGAACCTGACACGTGCTAACAATTTTTTCAAATTATATGGGTGATAGTATCACGTAAGATGAAAAAGGATATAAAATTACTTATAAAATAATTTCAGGGATAATAAGACCTTAGTATAATATAAATATGTCTCTAAAATTTTGGATATATATTAGAAGGATATTTATGTTTTAAAAAAATCTTTAATATTATAAATGTGAAATTATAAAAATGTAAAGGACTTAAGAGGCAAATGTCATCAAGCCACCCATGTGGTGAATTTTTAACGCAAATTCAAATTTAATCCATTTAGATAAAAATATTAAATATCAAATGAAAAAACGAAAAAAATAATGAATTTTATATAGAGGTGCAATTACTTAAATACCCTGAACTGCCTTATCTTGTTAGGGATGACAGCAGAAATTACAAGAAAAATAACGTGGCCAATTAATAGGAGAATCAAACAGCCAATTAGCAGTTAACCGTAAAATTTCCACTTTTCCATTGAAACCTCTCTTCAATTATCGCTTTGCCCTTTTTGCTTCTTTGATCCATCGATCGTCTGATCAACCTTTAATTGGTTAGTTTTTCATTGTATAATCGGACCCAATTTATCAAAGTTTCAAATATAATGTTTAATTTTGTGAATTTGGTAATGTGTAGCTATTTCTTGTTAATCTTGTTTTAAGCATGCATAGGCTATGGCAGGAAGCAATAATTTGTGGGGTTTCTTGTTGATTTTTAGTTTGATGATTATTGATCGCCATTCTGGTATCTGGGTTTTTTTTTTTCGCCTAAAAGATTTTTTTTTTTTTTTGGTTTTGTGACTTGTGTAGGTGTTTTTAAACTGAGCATTTTTGTGCCTTTTATGTTTAAAGGCAACAATCAAGGAAGAAGTTGATATTTGGATGATAAAAAGGTGAGGCTTCGGTTCTGCTGTATGTTTTCTTTTTCTCATCCATGAATTGCATAAGATTGTGTATCAGTTATTTATGTTACGTTGACCTTAACGATACTGGAAGATTATGTTCTTTTATGTGTCTTGCTTGGGTGTATGCCTGTCTAGTTTGGTTTTCCTTTTCTGGTGTTTGGGAAATAATCAACTCAATTGGAATGTTTTGATTTATATGTGTGTATGCATCCTGTTACTAAGTTGGCTTGAGAGAGGTGATTAGATAGGACATGACGCAGTTTCAGCTTACCGAGGACATGATAGGAGAGTGTGGAGGACATGGATTATGACAGAAGGTTGGTAGGTAGCAGTGCGCTGTCTTGTTGTCCGTACATATTAGTAGTTGTAGTATTGCTCCTGTAGTTTCTTGTTCTTCCACTTCTTTACTGTTTGTTGATTTCTTGTATCTCAATTATTGTTTTGTTTTGTTGTAGTTTTTGTTCTGTTTCGATATGTTGTTTCTTGTACTTCCGTTACTTCTTTCGTTGGACTGCATTGGACTGTTTCCATTGAGACGAGGATCTATCAGGAAGAACCTTTCTATCTCTTAGGTTGGGTAAGGTTTGAGTACTCTCTACCCTCTCCAGTTTGTTTATTAATCGTTGTTGTTGTTGTCGTGTAATTTCTAGGTAGTGTTTTTTCATGAGCATCAAACATTTGAATGAAAACTGTGTAATTTGTCTTGCCTCCTCGGGTAACCAAACATGACATAAGTTAATCTCGAAGTCTTAATGAGGGTTGGTGTTGTTTTAAAAAAACACACAACTAAAATCAAGATTTTATTTGGTGTGTTCCCAACTTGAAAATTTGCATCCGGGTTTGTCAATCTCACTTCCCTGCCTGAATATCTACCACAAGAATGTGAATCTCTCTATCTTCAGTGATATGGTGTTAAAGCTCTCTGACAGAACTGATATCCTACTTGATTTGTGGGATACATGAAGTTTAGATGGTTTGGCATCTTGAGAGATACCCTTCATGACTAGTGACTTCGCCAATGATCGGTTAAGGTGATTCTGAATGCAGAAAGAAGAGCTGGCTAAGTCTCCCCACATCATATTTATCTGGTTCATTATATTTACCACATGTAACTACTATAAGAAAAACATTTATGAGTTTTGTGGTTTTATTTTTCATTAGTGTTTTTATTGAGGTGATGATATGTGTTACCCAAGCTCAATTTTTCTGAATCAAAGATGTAATTCCTAAAGTTCTTGAATGAGAACTACTTAAGTTCTAGGTCAATATTGAACTTCACTTATTGGGATGAACATGGAGAAAGATATTGACATAAGCATGCATTGATAGATGTCCATTTGCATACAAAGTGATTATCAGCTAGCCATCTATCAAGTTTATGCAATTTCTTAGTCAATGATGTTACTAGGCTGCAGTATGTATTATAGCTTGTTCTCCTCCAAGCAGGAATCACCCCACAACATTGTAACCACGAAGATAGGCTAAAGGAGCATGTCACACAGTAATCGCATAATTGATATGGAAGCAGATCAGCAAGGTCAAGAGTTTTTTCATTCAGCACCTTGCATGTTTTACGGGAGCATAGCGGCTTTACCACAGCCTACTGTCCATGCAGTAGTACCAGCTCCCGTAAATGCTGGTAATATATATTTGCACCATGTATCAGATCATCAAGAGGGTCCCTTAACGTATGGCTTGACACAGTTCAATGGGATTCAACATCAGCATCCTGCCAGCAATCCTGACCTAGCTATTTCTGCTTCAAATCATTACAATCCTTACATGGCTGTTCCATCCGCTTCTGGAGATTTCCCTATTCCAGTAAATCACGGGCCACTTGATCGGCTTCATACAAGTTCTCACAACATCTTTGGAATGAATTCAGATTACGGAAGGAACAATCATTATATGGACGATGTCAGAGGCTCATATAAGAGAAAGAATGCTGAAGGAATTCCTGCAAATCTTCAATATCATCATGCTTTGGCAGGTTCCAGTTCTTCTGTTGCTCCAATGATTGCAAGGGCACATGAATCTGATGTTCCAATGGATGCTGCATCATTTACACCATCAGATTATGGAGGCAATTCATCATCATACATTGAAGATGGAGCACTGAGAAGTATGAGTAACAGATCTGGTGCTAGTGGTCCAGAAAATATTGTACGACATAACCACAATCATTTATTTCAAGGAAACTATATAAGTCAGACCCATCAGTTGCCTGGCAACCCTTGGCTGGATCAGCAGTTCAACAGCAATGGTAGTGAGACTCAAACTTGGGCCTGGAATCAGGCTGCTCCTTTACCCTATGTACCTGGTAATTTATGTTCATTTTTCAATTGAAATTTAGGGATCTATTTTCTCTAGGCTTACTGTTGCAAATCTTTTCCATGTTTAACGTTGAAAGTCTTTTGTCGTTTTCTTACAAGCTGAATAATGATCTTTCAGCTCCTTTTGCCCGCTTATTTTAAATGGAAAATCCACTGAAAACATGTTTTATTTGTCGTTTGCCCTCTACCATTTTCTTAATTTTTCTTGTATCGACAAATGACTTGCATATGTGCCCTCCTTAGTTCTATATCTCCAGTGTACCCCCCCCCCCCCCCACCCTTCTTCAAAACTTCAAGTGATGTCATTCAACTTCAGGAACTGATTGCAGCTGCTTGCTTTTCTTTATTACACTAGGTGGCATTGGGGGTTGCGTAGATGCTGGAAACATGGGTTTGCGAGGTTATCATATGACATCCAGCAATGGAGGTTTGACTAGTTTTCCGCATCCACCCATTCCTCAAGGGCTCCCAGGACTTCATCATCTGCCACCTAATATTCAAGGAATGAGAGGCCAGCCTATCTCCTTCCCTCCGCAAATGACAGCATCATCCTCACACAGACACCTACCAAATAATTCGTCCAATATCACCACGAACCTAATGCAAGGCGTTGTAGAGGCAGGACCCAGATATATGCCCTCCCTTCCAACTGGCTTTGGGTTGTATCGACCTCATCGAAGGGCTATCGTGCTTGAAAGAAATACTAGACATCAGAACCTTCCTAACATGAGAGTTCTGCCAGAAGACGTAAACTTTTCTCTGTTTGACCATATCTCGTTACTTCCTTTGTCATTATTATTGTCTAATTGATGCATTTGTTTGATGTAATAGAATTGAATTCTAATGGGTTTATCTCTTCATGGTTGCTATATGAAGGGAGTGGCAATGCTGGATGTTTCGGGCTACCATGAAGTTAACAATCCCATTGATCAGCACAGAGATATGCGTTTAGACGTAGATCACATGTCCTACGAGGTGAGCAATAGGTTTCTTGATTATATTGCTGTCTCAGATTTGTCTGATGGTTAATCAGTACTTGTGAAGTCTATTTTGTTTGTATGTTATGTATTATTTCGGAGTTATTGTCTGCTCTGCAATTTGTTTGCATAACATCTATAATAAAATTTCTGCAACTTTCAAATTCTATTTCAGGAGCTTCTTGCACTGGGGGAGCAGATTGGCAATGTAACAACTGGATTGTCAGATGAAATAATCGTTAACCGCTTGAAAACAAGATCATTTTCGCCCCCCGTTATTCCTTGCACCCTGGAAACTGCTGCATGTTTGGATCACGAAGCTGATTTCTGTGTCATATGCCAGGTATTAACACTAAATTATACTTTAAGTTGGATTAGATTTGCCTGTGACTTTTGCAGGGATCACTCTGGGGATGGCTCTACTTCAGTCTCCTTTTCTCCCGTCCATTTCATTTTAGGTGCTGATTAAGTACTCTAACAAAGACAAATCAGATGGGTGTAAGCTCTTGCTTAAACAATCACATTAGTAGGTTTTAGTTTGTTACTCCCCCTGTTTCAGTTTGTTTGCCTTTTCTTTTAAGTCCGTTTAAAAAAGAATGCCTGCTCCCTTTTCTGATAATTCTTTAATTCTAACTTTCCACATGACATATTTTAGACCACAAGATTAAAGGGCATTTTGGTACATTTTATATATCTTTAGTTTAAGACAACAAGATTCAAAAGTTTTCTTTTTTCTTAAACTCCGTGTCAAGCCAAAACCAGATAAGTAGATTGAAACGAGGGAGTGTTAAACTTCATTCCAAATGAACTTCCGAGGAAATGTTTTTGTATCTACTAGTTACTCTTGTTTTCAGTATCTTTGATGAAGATTTTCTTGTTTTAACTCTTTGATAATCGTCAATCTCTCCTATTCACACTTTCCTTTCTCAAAAATTGTTTTTTATCTCTCTTTTTCTGTGGTTAAATAAATTGCTTTTGATGCTTCATATAATTAGTCAAGTTTGGGAGACAATGTATTAAGCAGAAATATGAAGTTGGCACAATTGTCCCCTCATTATTCTTTTATTCTTCCTCCTAATAAAGAATATAATAATTTTACAAATCAATCCACTTGGAGAACTTTTGCATTTGGAATTGATTTCTTTTTCTTTTCCTATATTTGTTGTAACTCTAGAAGTGACGGTATAAAATGTTATGGAGAAAGAATAGGTTGACATCTAAGTATAAGAACCATGCATTCTCTTGGGTGGTTGTATCTATTTAAGCAATAGCATAGTTTAGTCTGTCAGCTGAATTATTGACTAACAGTTTACTATTGCATTGTTTCGAAATAAACTGAGGAGGATGCTTTGTACTCCTTCCTCAATCTTTATAAGCTTAACAATCATCACAGTAGGATGCCGTCAATTATTTCTGGATTTCCACCAGGCAAAGTATTGCCTCGGCTACTAAGATGTTTCTGTCCATCTTCTTATTTTTATGTTCACATAGAATGCTGTCTATCGTAATTTATATTGTCTGGATTTGTAATGCATGATTATTTTCCAATTATGCGCCATTAATGCCTTGCTGTGCTTTCCTATGGAGCTACTTTTCCTTGTTTTCTTTCTTTTAGTTATCCTTGCATCTCTGATGGCTTGCAATGTATATTTTGCCTTCAATTTCAGACTGACTACAACAAGCAAGAAACTATAGGAACTCTTGATTGCGGGCACGAATATCATGCAGAATGCGTAAAGAAGTGGTTGGTTGTGAAGAACACTTGCCCTATCTGCAAATCCACCGGATTGTCAATAGAAAGAAAAGATTTGTGAAAACAGGGAGTTGGTTGGTTGGTGGATGAATAATTATAAGAGTGGGACATTTTGTTCTCTTGTTAAATATTTGTTCTCTAACAAGAGGAGACCTGTATAATTATATATATATATTTTGTATATACTTTGGCTAGATGTTAGCATATAACTTGGTGACCTTAATTTTTGTCACCTGAATATGTACAGACCTCTTAATTTTGTTGGAACCATGTGCATGTATTGTGAATTTTGTATAGACATCTGAAATTATCTTGTTCGACCACGCCTGATTGTACTGTATTCTTTCTGGATTAATGTGCCATCTTTGTCCTGCAGATGTTATAACTAGTTGGTGATATTTTCTGAAGCTTGACCGTACATTTACCGTGTTCTTTAACTTGACATGAGTTAGTACGTGTGTTCTTTAACTTTGATTGTGCATAAGGACTTAAAGTATTATGTGTCTTACATGAACTGTGTGAGATGCACACATCCTAAATGGCATATCACGTAAGATTTGTCATATAGGATGGAAATGTTTACTTATTCAATTTTATGATAGTGTTTAAGTGTCTATTTTTAGCATATCAAAATTGGATGACATAGATATAAGATTGATATAAAGCAAAAGGGCATTATTTACTGTATCTTTTTATAGTACTGTTGGTATACTATTACTACTTGGGAAAATATTTAGGTGTTTACACCAAATTAAGCAAATTTATTTTACGAGTTACAAAGTAAAGTGATGATATATATGTCCTTTAACTTTGTTTTAACTCAAATTTATGCCTTTCAACTTTGAGTGTACATAAGTAGAAACTTAAATTTATATAAAGTTAAACAAATAGATACACATAAATAAGGCCACGTTAAAAAGTATATTTCTATATGATATCTTTAAAAACTAAAAAGAACTCTTGAAAACATGTGAAAAAAATTGAAATTAAAGAGGTGTCATTTCTTTTTAAAAAACAAACTTGAAAGGAAAGATCCTAAGAAACATTATTCTTCAGAAAAAAACCAAAACCACTTGCAAGTCTACATGTCAAACATAATAGTAACAACTAAGCTTCAGTTCTAAACAAGTTGCGACGATTATATACAAATCATGTTTCTCTATTTAAACTCATAAGATGCCATAAACATACAAAATAATAATATAATGTAAAAGTATATAAATAATAGTAAAACTCTTTTACAAAGAGTCAAAAGACTAGCAAAATAGGGTACAAAGTACAAACTAAAGGTAAGTTAATGAAACAATACAGAGGTGGAATAATTCCTAAGATATTCAAAACTGAGAATACTCAATGCAACTATAGGAGAAGCCATTTGAAAGTTTAACTTCACCGATTTCTTGATTTTTTTAGCTTACACAGAGCAGCAACCAACTTTTTTCACAGCTGAAACATCATCCTTGCCAACATTTATAGTTTGCCCCTTCGGCAACGCAGTAGGATCATCCCCAACTTCGAGTGCTTTCCGACAGACCACCCTGTATATCTCTGTCAGTACTTCTGTAAACGCATTCTCAACGTTCAAGGATTCAAGTGCTGAAGTCTCCATATAGAAGGTACTCTCTCTTTCAGCAAAGGCCTTGGCATCCTCTGTTGAAACAGCACGCAAGTGACGTAAGTCGGCCTTGTTCCCAACGAGCATTATGACTATATTTTGGTCGGTATGGTCTCGAAGTTCTTTTAACCATCTCTCAACATTTTCAAATGTGACATGTCGAGTGATATCGTAGACAACTAATGCACCGACAGCCCCTCTGTAGTATGCACTTGTAATTGCACGATACCTGTTGTCCGACATGGGAAATTGAAGTTTTAATTAGTCTCCACTTCAATAAGGTGCCAATCTTACCATGACAAAGTAGAACCAAAAAGATTTCAAACCAAAGATCTAACAGAGCTCAAACATAAGTTCCATACTAGAAATCAAAAATCAAACCCGAAAATGAACTTATCAGGAATCAGGTTAGCTGGCAGAATAAAGTCGCAGGTTAAGCAAAAAAAGGGCAAAGAAGGGAAGCAAGAAATATAAGACTAACCTACGAGAACCACAATAGAAGAAATACAAGGATAACCCCCCCCCCCCCCCTCTTAGGATGGCAGTCAGTCAACTACTTCGAGTACATGAGTGAAGCTCATCTTTCATCCATGTATACGCATCTATACTCTAGCGTCTAGTCCAAAATTTGAAACAGAACCACCACTTAAAATCGTGATTAATTAAGTGCACCTAAGCTGATGAAGTAGATAACAGTCAAATATCGTGATTAATTAAGTGCACGACATTTTCCTTTTTCTTTTTGATAAGTAATGGAAAGTAGTACCTATTCTCTAAAAAAGCCCTCTAGACTCTAGTCTCACCTGAAAAGAAAGTTTCTAAAAAGGCTAATTAGTACTTGAATGAGATTATGTTAGCTAGGAGATAATTAATATACTAGTACTATCATACATGTAGAAGTCCAACTTTTCTAGCTAGCTTGATATAAATATAACAATACCAACATGCCAAATTTTGTTCCTTTTTATTCTAAAAAAGGAATCCACGAGGCTAGTGGCGCACCGTTTGAAATTCGGTGGATAATGGACCCACCTCTCTACCCTTTTCCAATTGAATACAGTGCACTACACTTTTGACGGCAGTAGGCTTTGAACCTTTGACCTACCCCTAACCCACACACAATGCACTGCCCTCTTACCACTAGCCGAAGCCCTAGGGACCACATTTGCTCCACTCCTTAGTTATCCGCTCTGGTACTATTTCTTTCCTTTTCTTTAATTATATGATATCCATATTTGAAGCCTTAAACCTCAAAGATTTATGAATGACTAGGAACGCCCGGCAACTCAATTTATCCAGTTAACTACTAGGGAGCAGGGGCACATGTAGTCCATGCCAGATCAATCGTATTCTTGGCCGGAGCAATGAACCATCACAACTATGGATGTTTATTGTGCAGATGTCATTTGTTTTCACCTCTAATTTACAAATTTTGAAGAAAACAAGAAGGGATCACCTTTTAGAAGAAGTTAGAAGTAAATTGAGGTCTACCAGTTACAACTTGATCCATAACTACACTTGCTCGTTGCCTAAAAGACAGTAATGGGAGGCATTGACCCATAGGAAAAATCCATCACTGCTAAGTGTTGTAATTGCTAGTGAACAACCGAAAGCATCTCTAAAAATACCAAGCAAGACAGAACAATCATTTCCTTCACATCCTCCTTATATATAGAAAAACAAAAACATACCAAATCTAATCCCACGTATGGAGTCCGGGGAGTGTATGATGTTAGCAAACCTTAACCCTACCTTTGTGAGGGTAGAGAGACACGTTAGAGATAGATATATAAACACACAAACAAAATACCACAACCACCACCCACGGGTATGAACGGATAAAATGTACACACACCTTACCACTACTTTGAGGTAGAGAATCTATTTCCGATATACCCTCAACTCACAAAAACAAAGTACCACACAGACAAAACATCTAGATGGCAGCATAACATACTAACACAACACCTTCTAGCTTTTACATATCTGTAACTGAATTAGGGAACTTCACCCCTTAGCTACGAAACTACCAATCCTTTTCAAATCTTGCCAAAAGAAACTCGAAAAAATCAAAACTTTTTTTTGGGGGGCAAGATTATTAACTTATTAATTATCAGATTCTAGCTAAAATTGAAACAAACCCCACTTCAGAAAGTTAAATTAGCAACTTACACACAAGTTTCAAGAGTATGAAATTGCCAGATCAAACAAGATTCAATCCAATTAGCTGAAAATATACAAGCAAAGAGAAAAAAAACACCTTTCTTGTCCAGCAGTATCCCAAATCTGAGCCTTAACGATCTTATCATCTACCTTAATGCTACGGGTAGCAAATTCAACACCAATAGTAGACTTTGATTCAAGATTGAACTCGTTTCTTGAGAATCGAGAAAGGAGATTGGATTTTCCTACACCAGAATCTCCAATTAACACCAACTTGAACAGATAATCGTAATCATCCTCAGCTCTATACCCACCTGCCATCTGCGATTAATTCAACAAAATCAACTATTTTGGTTTACTTAAGGAGATAGCTGAGAGTTCTAAGAAGGAAAACAAATAAAATTGTTGCTTCTGGTACTACTAAAAGAAGTAGGTGGCAATAAATGACTCATTTGTCGAAGGATAAAATCTACGTATATTTTTTTATTTTAATTTGTGAAATTTAACTGTTATGTTATTTTACCGCTGAGTTACTTACTAATTTTGGAGGCAGTGACAAAATTTGCATATACTTTTTATCTTCTATTCGTGAAATTTAACTGTTATGTTATTTTATGACGGAGTCATCTACTAATTTTGGAGATAATGATAAAACTTGTGTACGCCTTTTGATCTTCTATTTGTAAAATTTAACTGTTATATTGTTCCAGGACGAAGTCACCTATTAATTTTGAAGGCAATAATAAAATCTACATATACTTTGTTATCTTCTATTTGTGAAATTTAACTGTTATGTTGTTTTAGAATGGAGCCACCTATTAATTTAGAAGACAATAATAAAATTTGTGTATATTTTTTTATTTAATATTTGTGAAATTTAACTATTATATTATTCGAGGGCGAAGCGACCTTTTAATTTCTTCAAATTTTAAATTTTAGTGAAAATTTTAATTCCGTTAATGTTATTTGGTAGTAAAGTCGTGTGGAGTTCAAGAAAGTTTTTACAGCAGTGAAAATGGGAGATCATAGTCACATATGAGTCTTTGACACTGAAAATGTTTTTTTTTTTTTAGAAATAAATGGGGATTTTATTTATTTATTTTTGATATATATAATAAGTAAGAAGGTATAATCTCAAAAATGATTATATGTAATTTGGAGAAGTGCATTAAAGTCACATAGACACATAAACAAATAGCAAAATAAGTTTTGAGCACATGCAGCAAGAAAATCAAGAATTACACTTTTAGCATCATAACTTTATTTTTAAAAAAAATAAAGAGATAAAGATTCGAAAAATATTAACTTTAATCGAATTTATTATTATGATATTAAATTTTAATGAAAATTTATTATTTTTTTTAACTATTTAATAGTATATTCTTTTACCCTGTGAATATTTTAATAGTATATTTTTTTAAAGGTATATACGTGTTCACGTGGACACATTACTATTTATAATTTTACATTATTTTTTATATTCACATGAGCAAATATATATATTAAAAATACGATATCAAATAATCTAGGGAGATAATAGGTCTCATGAAACTTTAATATCGAAACGACAAATTTGACCAAAATTAAAATATTTTTCAGATCGTTAATAGTATATATAATTGAAATAATTGTAAAAGAGTGAGTTTTATTCACAATGTCAAACTGTTAAGAAGCTAATTGCATGTAAATGAATATACTAAATATGAGTTAGTGGTAATAGGAAAAAAAATAAGCAACTTATTATAACTAATTAAACTACATAAATAATGTAAAAAGAAAAAAAAAAGGAGAATATCTTACTATATTCAATATGAATATATGTATTTATTTAATCTATCATGTACATGTAAATGAACATGCAATGCATAAATAGATAATAAATGGTACAATAACTAAGTTCATGTAAAGATACATGACCAAAATCCTGAAACTATCAAGGATGAATTTGAATGATTCATCTATTATACATAATATATTTATATAAAATTGTGAATAATAATTTATGTATTATAATTAAATTATGTAGATGATTAATGGACAAATTACAAAAATCACATACTTTTAAGGCAAAATTACAATATATCCCTTAAAAGTTTATAATTACAAAAATCCCTCAAAACGGATACAATAATATAAGCGCTGATATATTAATCTAATGCGCAAGATACATTAATTTGATATGTGAGATACACTACTCTGATGCGCGAGATACATTAATCTGATGTCGAGGTACATTTTATACATGATACACTAATCTGATGCACCAGATATATTAATTTGATGCATCAGATACACTAATTTGATGCGCGAGATGCACTAATCTGATGCGCGAAATACACTAATTTGATGTGCGAAGTATATTTTATAAATGATATACTAAGGTGATGTGCGAGATACACAAATATGATGCATGAAAATGAGGATTTTAGAAATTTGTAAAACTTATAAGGATAATGATAATAAGTAAATTAAAAGGTAGATTTCTGTAATTAATTCTTGTAATTAATCCTTGATTATCATTTTAAGCTACATGAGATACATTTATAGATCTTAATGAATAACCCACTATTTTAAGCCCTATGATCTATTGAAATCCTTTACTATTGAGCATTGAAGAGTGATAATTTATGCATGTGTCGGTTGAAGTAATGATAAATGAAAAAAAGACTTTTGACACAATTAAAGAAACACATTTTATATTTTGAAAATTGGAAATTAGGGTGTAATTATATAGTTTGGCGTGCTTATTTGGTCAACATGACATTAAGTTTAATTAAGAAAACATATTTTCTTTTTCATTTTTCATATTTTTTTATATTCGTATATTTCTCGATCATTAAAATTTCATTTTTTAAAAGAATATTATTTTCTTATATTTACTTTTTAATAAAAATAAAAGAACACTCAAACATATAATTGCACTATATATAAACAAATAAGGAAAAAAAGTTTGAAATATATCCGGACTTAAATCGAAACTGTTCTTACGAAATCAAGAGACTTTTTACCCCTAAACTATTTAATGGTAGTATATTTAAATGTATATATGTGCTCACATGCATAAAAATTATTGCATAATTATAAATAGTAATGTTTCACGTGAACACATAGATACCTTTAAAATATAATATTAAATAATTTGAGAGTAAAAAATATTTTATAAAATTTGATATCGTAATAATTTCTCGATCCAAACAAATAAAAATGACATTGAAAGAGAATTTAAGGGCTTGTTTGGGGTTTGACTTAAGGTCGGCGGGTATACATTAATTAAGGTGCAACATCGGTGGTTGGTGAACATGTGGATGCAAAGGCCCCCTCGTTTTTGCTTTGGAAAATTCAATCACATCCTTAATAATCTTTTTTCCCACCCCAACTTTGTATTAGCCATGTGAACCTAATTTTTTTTATTTTTTTTTTAAGATTAAGATATTTGAATTTGAATAATTAACATGTACTATGTATACATTTATTATTAAACATATTAAATATACAATTTACGTAAAAAAGTAATTAGATCATTATTTGATTAAAAAAAGGAATCATTTAAAGATATAATCGAATAGATTATGTCCACTAGTGAACAAACACTAGTTTATCAAGAATATGCAAAGAGAAACACTTCAATCTGTGTGGAGTTCGGAGCCTAAAGGATGAAAAATATTGACAAAAATTTTAAAATGATATATAAATTTAATGAATTTTTTTTTAAAAAAAATTAAAATGAAATCGCTGCCATAGCAGCGATTTTGATACAATTTTTTATTTATTTATTATGGTTATGTACGAACATTAAATCTAAAAAAAATTTAAAAAAAGAAAATTTGTACCGAAATCGCTGCTTTGGCAGCGATTTCATTTTTTTTAAAATAGCAAATATAAGAAAAAAACATTCACGTTAAATCACTTAGCGATTTATTAAAAAAAAATAAAAAAAGAAAATTGTTTTTGGACAACGATTTGTTTAAATTTTTTAACAAATTTTGCAAATCGCTATTGCACGCTGACGAAGTAGCGATTTTGTCGGTCGAAAAAAGCAAAATCACTGTCTGCTCTGTCAGCGATTTTACCTTTTTAGTTAAAAAAATTATTCATATACCGTTTTAAATTTTTTGTCAACATTTTTCACCCTTTAGGTTACGGACTCTCAATTTGTGTCAATTGAAGAAAAATCTGTCTTTTTACCTAATCCTGGTGCCTAAAGACAAAGAGCTTCTTCAATAGCCAACTCGAGCAGTCAAGTTGTAGCCTTTGACTTCATAGAGTCGATACGCACAACACTTAGTATTTATTATTTATAGCAAGGACTATGGGGGTGTCTAATCTCATTCGCTCCCCTAGATTAATACCCATAGATTCAATTGGCTTCATGTAATTAAGAAAATACTAGTTTTCTCTAAACTTCTTGTTCATATCTCTCATCAAGAGGTGCTATCTGATAATGTCTATCTAGTAGATACATTGATAGTTATGAAGGTGGAGATGGTTGATGCTGTACAAATAAGCACTATTGTGACAATTAGCGGTGATATTAATTGATGATAGTTATAATGATAGAGATGATTAATGTTCATATTTGACGATGTTTGTTGACCATTGTGTAGTTTGTGATGGTTGATGGATGATGTTAAAAGTAGTTGGTGATAGTGATGGAGGTGATCGATAATAAAAGTTATCGACAACTAAATATGGGGGCAAAATCAATTGTGATATTGGTTGACAGAAAATATAATTATAAAAAATGATAGTAGGTGATTGGTGTAGTAGCTACTAGCATTGATAAAGGTAGTTTTCAAAGATGATACTGATCTTTGATTGTTATGATGGTGATTGTGATGTCTGAGACGATCGATGGTGATGGCTCATGGTTGTGGACAAAGTTAGCAGTGAAAATTATTACACAAACATAAGATCCCATGAGTGCTTAAATCTTCATATGTATAAAAACACTTAATGACCTAAGATCTAAATAATTCAAATTTAAATATTCGTTAAATGCAAACAAAACTCAGACTCGTATCTCCATTAAATGCAAACATTCAGATTCAAACCTTCGTTAAATGCAAATTTAAATATTCGTTAAATGCAAACAAAACTCAGACTCGTATCTCCATTAAATGCAAACATTCAGATTCAAACCTCCGTTAAATGCAAACAACTGACGCTATCAAGTAATTATAGCTAAAGAAGGGTAAAAAGGGTAAAAGTGCATTTTAAAATCATACAATCACTATGAAGGTCATTCAAGTTCATTTTGGTATTTTCAAAAAGAAATAGGAAATCTTTATGCCAACTAACTCCCTTGGCTGATCACTCGCACCAAATAGTTCTAAAACTCAGAATCCAAGGGACCTCGACGAAGGAAGGACACAGACGAAGACATCGATATATTTCATTTCTTCAGTCATGCAT